TATAGAATTTCCATGTGAGACATCCCACACGGTCAAGTATCCCCTGAATTTGTCAAAAGTAGTTTGGAATGTATATGAATATATGAATAAATTAGCAGATGCATAAATGAATTATATATACATGTAATACATTTATTCATATATATATATATATAAATATATATATATATATATATATATATATATATATCTATATATATATATATATAGATATATATATATATATATATATAGATATATATATATATATGTATATATATATATATGTATATATATATATATATGTATATATATATATATATATATATATCTATATATATATATATATAATATATATATATATATATTAAATACACCTTTATATATAATCATGATATACTGAGCGTTGCGTGTGGGTACAACCCGTGCAAGTACATGGATGTATGTGTGTGAAGGTGTGTCTATATATGTGTACGCTTGTGTCTCCGCACATGAATGAGAGAGAATGGATTTCGCTGTGTACGCAGGAAATTATATCCGTTTTATGCAACAATTTCTGGACGTACACTGTGTGCATGAATATGTGTACGTGCAACTTGTATGTGTAGCTGTTCCTAAATATTTTCCTGTACAAGTATGTGTGTGTTTGCGTTCAAATAACTTATTAAAAGTTGCAATATATGATTTTGTTTATATATAATGTTGTTTAGTTCTAAGTGTTTAAACTATGTATTGTAAAAATCTTCTGTATGCTTTACTTTTCCGCAATACATTCGTTGCTCTACTGTATGCCACAGCGTTTATTTTCCTCGTCTCCGGCACTTCTGTTGGCGAGGCCACGACCACGAGGCCGGCGGTTTCAGCTCCGGAATCTGCATGAGGTGAAAGTTACATACACACTTACATACACAAAGCAACTTGCATCAGCATCTGTCACGTGCACCATCCTGGTTATTCTGGCACTTCCTCGCTCTTTATTCTTTAAATGTTTGTTTTTTTGGTTTTCTGTTATTATTCTTTTAAATTATAGAATATAGAATTTCCATGTGAGACATCCCACACGGTCAAGTATCCCCTGAATTTGTCAAAAGTAGTTTGGAATGTATATGAATATATGAATGAATAAGCAGATGCATAAATGAATTATATATACATGTAATACATTTATTCATATATGTATATATATATATATATATATATAATATATATATATATATATATATATATATATATATATATATATATATGTATGTATATAATGTATATACTGTATACACACACACACACACACACACACACACACACACACACACATACATATATAAAATCCCCCATCAGCGAGGATCCACCCCCCCTGACTGAAGTCAGGGGGGCAATCTCCAAGCTGAAGAGTGTTAAAGCAGCGGGTATCTGCGGCATCCCAGCTGAACTGTTAAAGGCTGGTGGAGAACCTATGGCAAGGGGCTTGCATGTTTTCCTATCTGCCATCTGGCAGACTGGCACCATTTCCCCTGACCTGCTTGAGGGTCCCCCTCTAGGGGGAAAGGGGATCGGTGGGACTCCAGTATTCACCGAGGCATTACACTGCTCAGTATACCTGGCAAGGTTCTCGCTCACATCCTTCTGAGACGTATCAGAGACCACCTGTCGAGGCACCAGAGGCCGAAGCAATCTGGATTCCCTCCTGGTAAGGCCACAATAGACCACACCCTCACACTTCGAGTTACTGTAGAGCGCCGCCGTGAGTTCGGACATGGGCTGCCTGCAGCTTACATCGACCTCAAGAAGGCGTTTGATACAGTACATCACGAATCACTCTGGGAGATCCTGAGATTAAGAGGCATTCCATCAAGGATTACTGAATTAATAGCAAGTGTGTGTACTGGTATTGAAAGTGCTGTAAAGTGTGGTGGAGGCCTGTCGTGCCTCAGGAGTGAGTCAACATTTTTCAAAACTTGCATGGGCTGAATACTGGGTAGAGCTACTGTCCAAAGTCACCGTGGAGCAATATCAAGGTTGCAGACCTTGACTTTGCTGATGATGTTGCTATTCTATCTGAATCTCTGGAAATCCTAGTGGCGACTCTTGATGCATATGAAGTGAAGCCCCTGGGGCTAGAGGTCTCCTGGACCAAGACCAAGATCCAGGACTATGGGGGCCTGCTAGGAGATCCTGCTTAGTCGGTACTTGCTTGCGGTGATAACATCGAGGTCACAGAGAGCTTTATATACCTCAGTAGTGCAGTTCATGACTCTGGGCTGTCGGACCATAAAGTCAGTAGACGGATTGGCCTGGCAGCAGGGGTCATGAAATCTCTCGACAAGAGTATTTAGAGATCCAGATCAAGGGGGTACAGTTGGCAGGACCATGTGTCCAACCAACGGCTACATTGTCAGACTGGCATGGGACCTGTTATTTGCATAATCAGGGATCGCCAACTCAGGTATACAGCCACCTGGCACGTTTCCCACAGGATGATCCTGCCCACTAGGTTGTCTCTGTTCGAGACAACCCTGGTTGGAGGGGGCCTGTGGGACGATCCAGGAGGTCACAGTTTGGGCAGTTCGTTCAAACCTGTTGAGGGACCCTCGTAGGTGGAAACAGCTGCTATGCGCTCCCGCTGGCATTAGCTCCCTAATGATATATATATATATATATATATATATATATATATATATATATATATATATATATATATATATGTACATATATATATATATATATATATATATATATATACATATATATGTACATATATATATATATATATATATATATATATATATATATATATATATATATATATATATATACATATATGTGCATATATATATATATATATATATATATATATATATATATATATATATATATACATATATGTGCATATATATATATATATATATATATATATATATATATATATATATATATATATA